CGGTACCAATCACACTGTCTCTTCTCTTCCATACCCTCCTTGGCAAGATAGTGTAAAAGCGATCGGAAGTGGGCGTGAGCGTAGTGGCTGCCAAAGTTGAATGACCCGTCTAGGCGTGCCACACATGACCTGCTCCTTAAAGTATGTAGCGGGCTAAGATAAAAGCGGCTGAGGTCTAAAACAGGGGTGGGGGTGAGAAGGCAACCAGCACACTGATGTACAAACTCCCAAAATGCGCAAGGAGGGGAGGGTTAGACGGAGACGGTGGCAATAACGAAAAGACTTACCTGAAAGAACTTGGTTTGGAAGCGCGTAAAAGCACAGCCGATTCGCAGGTCTGTCTCCTGACGAGCATCCACGGACAGAGCCTCGTTCTTATTGGGTTGCCGCAAGTTCTGCATCGCAGTTTGCACCTCATGCTCAGTGACAGCCGTAAAATGAGCTCGGAATATTTGCGCCTTAAGAAACAAAATAAGCATTTTATAGAAAACATGCACAAAATATTATTTCTCGTACTCATTCGGTAAAAAAATTATGTCTTCTTTAAATGCTATGCATGAAGAAAGGAGATTCTGCAGTTTAAAAGTTTCTAATTATGAGATTTTTATGGCCGGTAAATGTCCATCAATAAAGCGTCCAATCTATGCATCTATTGATGCTGTTTATTAAGCATACAAACTGGTTCATGTCCATTGCAAAGTGGTAGGACCATTATATGGCGTTCCTTTTAAAGAAAATGCATGTAGCATGCAGTTTTGGAAACCTAAAAGCGAGAGCAAATACGGGTTGGGCTCAAAATAATTGAAATTGAAAAATATTGTTAAAACCAAAAAATGTACTTTTTTAACTGGAAAATTTGAAGAAGTAATTTTCTACCCAAGCAACTACAGGAAAGAATATTTTTGTGTACGTTTTTTATAAAATATATTTGAATTTATCAAGGCATCAAAAATCCATTGGAAAAAAACTATGGTAGGACTGTCTTTAGAGGTCATACTTGCCTACTACCTACTTACATACTCTTACATTTTACAGGAGCCCAACTCTCCCTTTTTTCGTCAAATTTCTACAACAGGCATAAGTTGCCTGAGCAACATGAGTTTCTGTTGATGGAGTTGGTTCTATTTACCTCATCATCAAATCTTCTTTGATCACTTTCGACACAATTACATATTCATTTACACTTGTTAACCAAGAAGTACATGTTTAACCACCGATTCCGTAAGACAGTTGGGCAGGGGAATATATATTTAGGCGACCCTACAAGACCAAGTCCGAGTACAAATATAAGGGCGCAACCATCGCCGAAGAATTACTCTATGCCTCGATGTTAAATCTAATTAGGAATCTACCGAAATTTTCGAGTGTTTGAAAGGA